GTAAAATCTGCTATCAGGGAGCTCTCCAGAGTACTGAAAAGCAATGGTGTCAGTCCAGAGACTAACGTGTACCTGATCCAAATTGCAAGTCTTTGCAATTACTCACTATGCATCAGAGATCTGGACCATGACTAAGGATGACAGAAGAAGAATCGATGCCTTTGAGTTGTGATGGTGGAGAAGAGTATTGAACATATCATGGACTGCCAAGGGCACAAACAGATATGTCCTGGAGAGGATGAAACCAAATTTCTCCTTGGAGGCAAGGATTTTGAAGCTGCGTCTCATATAGTTTGGGCAAGTTGCCAGAAAAGACTGGTCCTTGGAGAAAGACATCATGCTTGAAGGGTAGAGGGACAATGCAAGAGAAGAGGACTCTGGATGAGGTGGATTGACTCAGTAACTGAGGTAATGGGTGTAGGTGTCTTGGAGACAATGACATTGGCTCAATATAGGACAGAGTTCTGAACTATTTATTGTACATAGGGTCACTATGAGTTGCAGACAACTTGACAGCACATAACAGCAACATAATCAACTCATGGTACCACCAATCGAGAAATCAAAAGATATGTATAACACTGGGGAAATAGGCTGTCAAGGACCTCTCTAAACCTCTAATGAGCAAAAAAGTCAGTCAAAAGCCCAAGTGCATCTAATCCAAACCATGGTATTTTCTGTTGCTTCCTGTGCACCTGCAAGTTCAACAATGAATGAGAAAAACCAAAGAAGTATTGGAGAAGAGTCCTGAATATCCCATGGATTGCCAAAAAGACAAATCTGTCTTAAAGGAAGTGTAACCTGAGAGCCCGTTAGAGGCAAGTTTAGGGCTTGTTTGGGGCATATATTCAAGAGGCATATGTTTTTGAAGAGACATTATGCTGGGGAAGTATAGGGTCCATGAAAGAGCAGCAGATGCTTAAAGATGTGCGTTGATGCAGTGATTACTACAGTGAGCATGACAGAGGTCATGAGAGTGGCACAGGGTAAGGCAAGGTTTAGATCTGCTGTTTATAGGGTCGCTATGAATGATGGTGGCCATGACAACACCTAAGAAACAACACTAACAATGTGGAAAAGGCTTACTTTTGTTCCTGCCTAAGCATGTGGTTCTCCTCTGTCTCACTGGGTAGTGGAAGCCAGCCTGAGCCACTGGGTCTGAAGCTTTTCCCTGTTTGGGAGTGGCCCCTCCTCAGATCTGTGTTGGAAATGCTGTCTTGACCTACTCGAGACCAGTCTGTGTTTCTGTTAACTTCAGAATTTCTCCCAGCACTTGTTCACTGAGTTCCCCTCACTCTGCACTGTTCTCTGAGCATCCTCTCCTCAGCATCTGCCTTCTCAAGTCCTCACTACCAGGTTGGCATCAAGCACCTGATGTGCACTTTGCCTCCTGCACTTGCTTTCCTCACCCTGGCCAGATCTGTCTCTGAGATGTCCAGTTTCTCTAGGAATAGTTTGTTTTCCTTGTCCTTCCTGTCCTTGCCTCTTCCTCACTTATATTTTTAACGCCCCTCTATGTCCCAGTTGTTTTCTTCTATGATTAGCATTCTCAAAATTCTTATTTGCCTTTATAATAAATCACTCAGCTACTCTGAGTATTTTTACATAATCCATAAAATTTGGTCAGTAAGTAGATGTGAGGAGAACCAAATGAAAGCTTGTGTATAGAGTGCACTGTAAATCTTGTGTGTTTGGTGAGCTATAAAGTGTTCTTTACACATGTAAGGTGGTGCGACCCAGATTTCTTTCATTTTCAGCATCTGCAAAGACGTGTCAATGCTACATCATCTTCAGTGCACTTCAGAATAATTTCCCTGAGGATTCCAACTAACTTCAAAGACCAGAAGTAGTTGGGAACTTCACCTGTTCAACGCCAAGGCAGCAAAGGGGAGCTACATCTTCTCATTTCTGAGTAGCGTGAATCCTGAAGTACTTGGCTTAGAACTTGGCGAGTCTCGCTTGCACCTTAACTGTAGTCTCTTGCCTATTTGGGCCTCAGTTGCTTCTTGGATGCACTGAAGAAATGAGCTCTGAACTGTTTGTTTCAGGTTCTGCATCTCTGTTATATGTGTTTGGGATCCGGATGGGGTGCTGATGCTGACACTGACCTCATCCTTCTTAGGTTCTGCTTGGCTATGTTCTCATGACAGTCATTTACGTGTTGGGAGAACAAATTGTTTTCCCGCATTAATCTTAGTTGTGTATGTTTTAATGTCTGTTCAATACTGTCATCCTCACAGACCTTCTACCTAAATTATTGTTGTTGTTGTTGTTGTTATGTGCCGTCTAGTCACTTGAGACTCATGGTGACCCTGTGTACAAAAGTCCTAAACCCTGCCCTGTCCTGTGCCAATCACGCTGTCTCTGACACACCCA